CAAGCCCTTTGTGGTGTGGCCCCCATCCCTCTGTGTCCCACGGCTGATCTGTGGCTCTGTCAGAGACAGGGAGCTTGGAATTGCCAGAAGAACAAAGATAACCGCACTTGCAGGCTGTATTTGTTTCGTGTAGTAGCTGTAATAAATGACTACAGACTTGGTGACTTAAAGCAGCAGCAATTTATTGTCTCTCAGTTCTGAAGGCCAAGTCCAAAACCAGTCCGATTGGGCTAACATGGCTGGCTGGTCGCTGGCATTGCGTGGCTTGTGTCTGCATCTCTCCAGCTGCTGCCGCCGTCTTTTCGTGGTCTCCTCCTCTGCCCAAATAATCTCCCTGGCCCGCTCCTAAGGACCCCTGTGATGGCATTCAGGCTCACTGGGAGAACCCAGGTCTTCTCATCTTAAACTCCTCCATCACACCCACAAACACTTTATCATATAAGGTAGTATGTATGTCTTTGTGGGTCGGGGGGACTGTTGCGAGGCTGTAGCTCCTTTGGGGTGGGGTTAGGAATGCGATGACTGGAGGGATGCAAGGAGCACCTCAAAGGGGTGAGATGTGCAGGAGGCACTCGGGGAGAATGAATTTACCAAAGATCGAGCCTCTGCCTGCTCCCGCTGCCAAGGTGATGTGAACAGACACGCCTGGATGCTTCCCTCTGGGGAAGACGCAGTGTGATTAGGCACAACGTGCCCCTCGGGAGCAGAGAGCCTTCCTGTGCACATGGAACTGCCGCCATCAATCACTCGATGGGAACTGAATCCTTACAGTTCACAGGTGTAAGCACTGAGCAGCTGGCAGCGCCTGACCCGCCCTGGAGCCTCCCACTTTCTCTGCGCACAGTGGGTGGAGCCTGTTGGCCTGGATGGACAGAGATGATGCGTTTGGCTACAGAGACCACACAGACCCCAGGTTGGTGGGTGGGGCACGGACATGCAAATATGTTAGATACTAGTGCTTCCTGGCAAATAACCCAAAACCGGGACTTAAAATAACGTCCGTGAGTTATTCTCACACACATTCTGAGGGTTAGGAATTCAGAGGAGGCCTGGCAGGGGAGTTCTGGATCATGACGTCCCACGCGGCGGCAGCAGGAAGCCGGCCAGGCTGTACTCATCTGAAGAATGGAGGGGCTGCTTCTACTCTGTGATGGCACACCTCCCATCACTCACAGGGGTTGGCAGGAGGCCTCGTTCCTAGCCATGAGTGCTTCTCCATGGAACTTGTTTGAGAGGCTTCGCAATGTGGCCACCAGCCTTCCCCAATGCAGTGAAACGAGGGAGGGAGGGAGGGAGGGGAGCTGTTCCAGTTACCTAGTGCTGATCTGACAGGAATACACCACAATGGGATAGCCTTAACAAACAGGAGTCTATTCTTACAATTTGGAGGCTTTAAGCCCAGGTTCAAAGTGTCAGGCTCTAAGGGCTGAGTAAAAGCCCCTCAACCTTGGGGTCCAGCTCTGCCTCCTGCTCCTGGCCCACTGGAGCTAGAGGCATTTCTTCACTCAGACAGCTGCTGGCTGCTGAGGCTGAGAAGCCCTAAGGCTGACAAGTAAAAAGGCACAATTCCGAA